GGTTTCAGGTTAGAAATGACAGTTCTACTACAGTCAGACAGATTGTGTACAAATGGAGGAAGTTCAAGAGCATTGTTACCCTCCCAGGAGTGGTGGACCAACAAAGATCACTCCAAGATCAAGACAAGGTCACAAAGGTCCCCAGGGTAACTTCTAACATCTGAAGATCTCTCTCACATTGACTAATGTTGATGTTCGTGAGTCCACCATCAGGAGAACACTGAACAACAATGGTTCATGGCAGGGTTGATGGAGGAAGCCACTGCTCTCCAAAAAGAACATTGCTGCTCATCTGCAGTTTGATAAAGATCACATGGACAAACCAGAAGACTGTTGGAAGAATGTTAGGTGGACAATTGAGACCAAAGCAGAACTTTTTGGTTTAAATGAAAATAGTTATGTTTGGAGAAAGAACAACTCTGCATTCCTGCAGAAGAACCTTATCCCATCTGTGAAACATGGGGGTGGTAGTATCATGGATCGGTCCTGTTTTACTGCATCAGATCATTCAACAACAAATACTTAGCCAACTTCACAAGGATGTCTTTTTTTTTTTTACCTGCAGGAACCAACTGATGTGAAAAAAAGATTAATAGCTGTTAACTAAAATTATTGACACAAATGAGTTGAACAAAATCTAGAGTACAATCACTTCATGTATTGCATCCCTAGAGTAAGATGTATGAACAGGTTAATGATGAAGAGCCATCAGTGTGAAGTCAGATGTGGTCTTAGCAAAGAGAGTGAACATTAATCCGTCAGACTAAGCTTAGCTGTTACGTAACACAAAGGATGTAAGAGAGGGTTAACCCTCCAAATGCATGAGCTGGCTAGCATTTACTAAAAGGATGGAGTTCCCTTGTTATGATAAAGGTTGGGGTCAGAACAGGGAGGGCTGACGCTACAGTTTCCAGAGCGAGGAAGATGTACATCAGGGATGGGGTCCACAAGGAAGCAGGAAAGTGGTTGGAAGGCGTACAGCAGCTGAGGAGGCTCACAGAGAGGTTTTCTCCCAGGACAGGTGGACGGATTAAACTCTGAGGATGCGGAAAAAACACAATTGATTACTACTTTTGTTTTACTCACAAAGATACTGGTTAGAACGGAGCTACCATAGGTCGGTTAATGTCCGAGCACCCGCTGAATGTTCTCTGCAGCTTCTTATTATAAGTATACTTGTACTCCTGCTTGTAGCTCTGATGATCTGCAGGTGCTGTTAATTAAAGTGTTGAGTGGAGGAAGAAGGCAGGGCAGAGCTCCTACACCTCTTTCATAAACGTTTAGTTGCAGTTATTGCTGCACAGAGGGGTCACACCAGATACTGAAAACAAAGGTTCACATACTTTGCCACTCACAAATATGCAATATTGGATCATTTTCCTCAATCAGTCTGCTCCTCAGATAAATAGTGTCAATTATTATTTTTTTTTATATATGAATGTTTCTGTTCAGTGTCCTGAGATGACTGTTGTGACTTGGTGCTATAGAAATAAACTGAATTGAATTGAATTGAATCAATAAATGAACAAGTATAATATTGTTGTCTCATTTGTTTAAGTGAGTTCTGCTTTAAGGTTGTTTTTTTTTTTTTGTGAAATTCTGATTAAGATTTAGGCCATGTTTATGCAGACACAGTATAGTACATTCAATCGGGTTCACAAACTTTCAAGCACCATTGTATACATATATATATATGTATATATATATATATATATATATATATATATATATATATATATACAGTGAGGAAAATAAGTATTTGAACACCTGTCAATCAGCAACAGTTCTGGCCCTCAAAGACCTGTTAGTCCTCCTCCACTCCACTTATTATTCTAAATTAGAAGCACCTGTTTGAGGTCGGTAGCTGCATAGACACCTGTCCACCCCACACAATCAGTAATACTCCAACTGAGGGAAGGAGGTTGTTCCCCAAAATCTCTCACTACATGGCCCCGGTCATCCGCTCCTTAATACAGTGCAGTCGTCCTGTCTCTTGTGCAGAAAAACACCCCCAAAGCACGATGCTTCCACCCCCATGCTTCACAGTAGGGATGGTGTTTTTGGCATGGTACTTATCAATCTTCGTCCTCCAAACACGGCGAGTGGAATTAAGACCAAAAAGTTCTATTTTGGTCTCATCTGACCACAGAACTTTCTCCCATGACTCCTCTGGATCATCCAAATGGTCATGGGCAAACTTAAGACGGGCCTGGACGTGTGCTGATTTAACCAGGGGAACCTTCTGTGCCATGCATGATTTTAAACTATGACGTCTTAGTGTATTACCCACAGTAACCTTGGAAACAGTGGTGCCAGCTCTCAGGTCATTGACCAGCTCCTCCTGTGTAGTTCTGGGCTGATTCCTCACCTTTCTTAGGATCATTGATATGCCACGAGGTGAGATCTTGCATGGAGCCCCAGTCCGAGGGAGATTGACAGTCATGTTTAGCTTCTTCCATTTTCTAACAATTGCTCCAACAGTTGATCTTCTTTCACCAAGCTGCTTGGTAATTGCTCCGTAGCCCTTTCCAGCCTTGTGGAGGTCTACAATTTTGTCTCTGGTGTCTTTGGACAGCTCTTTGGTCTTAGCCATGTTAGTAGTTAGAGCATTGAAGATGAGTCATGGCTGGGTCTTCCAACATGACAATGACCCAAAGCACACAGCCAGGAGAACCAAGGAGTGGCTCCGTAAGAAGCATATCAAGGTTCTGGAGTGGCCTAGCCAGTCTCCAGACCTAAACCCTATAGAAAATCTTTGGAGGGAGCTCAAACTCTGTGTTTCTCAGCGACAGCCCAGAAACCTGCTGATCTAGAGAAGATCTGTGTGGAGGAATGGACCAAAATCTCTGCTGCAGTAAACCTGGTGACAAACTACAGGAAACCTTTGACCTCTGTAACTGCCATCAAAGGCTACTGTACCAAATATTAACATTGATTTTCACAGGTGTTCAAATACTTATTTGTAGCAGTAACACACAAATAAATTATTTTTAAAATCATACATTGTGATTTTTTTTTAAAATTTTTAGATAATGTCTCTCACAGTGGACATGCACCTAAGATGAAAATTTCAGACCCTCCATGATTTCTAAGTGGGAAAACTTGCAAAGTCACAGGGTGTTCAAATACCTATTTTATTCACTGTATATATGTATATGTATATGTATAT